GTAAGTGACCGCTAATCCCTCGGCGAGGCCTCGTGGCTCAGCAGGGGCGGGCAGCGTTGCTGGGAGCCGCGGCACGGCGGTGTTCTCGCAGCGCAGGGCCGGTAGGTGTGTGTGCAGATGTGTGTGTAGATGTGTGTGCAAACGTGATGAAAATCTGTTGTGAATCGCAATTAACAACTTCGTGTATTTCCGTTGTGCAGAATGAGGTCTAGCGTTCCGACAAGGCGTGTGATGCTTTCTGTAAAATCCCGTTTTAATCAGCGATGACAGTTTGACATTTTTCCAGCTGTTTGGAAGCACCAGACAGTCAAGCATCTCAGTAGGGCACGGGCTGGCGTGCTGGGATGTGTAAGCTTCAACTTTCCTGGCTTACGATGGCGTTCGAAGAAAAAGCTTTCTGCAGGTTTCACTGAGTTTCTGCCAGCTGTGTTTGCAGCCTTGCCTGGGAAAAGTAAAATCTTCACTTTGGAAGCACATCCAGATGCTGCCAGCTCATGTTATCGTTCTCAGTAGCAGGGATTTGATTTATAGAATGTCCTGGTGTCTGTTGAACAATTGGTAATTGTGTGCGTTTGAGGGATGTGTAAACAGCAATTAGAACACAGTAATGCTAAGGCTTCTAAAGAAAGTGACATCAATTTAAGGGAGGGAACAATGTTCTGAGCTGGATTTAAACCAAAATGAAGGCAAAAAATCTCTAAAACAGCATTTGGGTAATGGCATAAAGTGTCTGGACAAGCAGGTCCCCCAGCAGGCAGAGAGAGGCTGCCCAGGTGTGGGTGCTGTGCCTGATGAGAGCACCTGTGTGAGTGCTACAGGGCTTGAGCAAGGAGTGCTGCCACAGGTGTGGCCTTTCTGCATTTGGTGAGCTGGGGGAGCAGGCGTGGGTTGGTGTGGAAGGGAGCTTATTGGTTACTGAGCATCTCCAGCTGTGTCCTCATCAGATCTCCTCCTGGCTTGCTGGATCCTGTTGCCCTTTCTGTGTCCGTGGCTTTGGGTGCTATTTGGCCACCAGCTCTTCCTTTATATTTATTTCTGTATTCCCCTCCTGAAGTAGGAAAACATGGAAAAATAATGTGAAATGTGCCTGCAGTCCCACCATTGACGCCATTCCTGCACAGAGCATTTCCATGTAGCTCCAGAAGGTTCCAAGCCCGCAGCTCTGCCATGTGCCCTGTTAGGGCATGCACCTGGCTATCTGCATTGCACTGTGCCCAGCCCCTCTGCCTTATGTTCCTACCATCCCTCACTCCTTGGTTTAGGTCCCTCCCCACTGCCTGGTTATTTTTTAGCCTGCAATTTCTGTGGAGCAAGATGAGGTCTTAGCTCTTAGCACACTGTGGACACGCACAACAGTCTCATCTGTATAAACGATGAGGATAAATTACATTCAGACTATCAGTATTGTAGTGTGAGGGTACACGCATAAAATCAATGCTATAGACCTAATCTGCATGCGTAGTTACTGCAATTATGCAAAAAGAAAATCAAGATTTGGCTGATTGCTGGGGATGTTCAACTTGCTGAACACTTACCAGCTGCTCAGCTTGGAGCCCAGGACACAGTGGGCGCACTGTGTGTGCTGGGGTGCTGGAGCTGGACCCTTGAGCAGAAGCTGCTGCTCCCTCTATGGCTACAGAGCTGTGTGTGACTGCACTGGAGTTTGTAAGTGTTGACTGAAGAGTTTTAACAGCTCAGTCCTTTGCAGCTTCACGTGGGTGCTTGGCATTATTGCTGCATTTCTTCATGAGGAGCAGGCACTGAGCTAAGGAAGCAGTTATTTAGAGGTGCAGAACTTGCACCTGCAGATGAAAACCTCTTGGAGAGATCAGAACTGTTTGTTGTCTTTGTTGTCTTTGTTTTTCTGTATTTAATGCCTTGTTGTTTGTTGTTGTTTTTTTTTTTTTTAAGCTAGTTTTATGTGCTGGGATGCATGGAAAAAACCCAGGACACCGAGATCAAGGAGTCAGAGATATAATCGGAATGTTGATGACTTATTTACAAATGTTTTCTCAGCCACGCTGCTTTAATTTCTACAGGATATCCTTTTCCTTCGAAGTCTCCAGAAATTACAGGGCACGCTGCTGTGGGGGCCATTTGTTAGGAGGCTGACAGGGTGAATTAGTCCAATAATCGCTGCCGAAGTCGTGCACTACCTGCTGGTTTGGGTGTTTAGTTTGCATGAGTTGTTCTCTGCTAAGGCACCAGTCTCTCAAATACGCATCATTTTTGATGCATTTCCTTCTTCATTGCTTAATCTTGTTTTAATATCACGCGGTGCGAGAGGTTGCTTGATTTTTGGACTGAAAAACCAATCTTCCCCCCTGTTTAGATTAAAGGTCTTCGTGGCACGGGAAAGAAATGCTCAAATCTTTTAGTTTGAAAGTACTTACTGCGGTGCTAATTATCAGAGCTTTAGTTCCTCTGAGTTGAGATGTGCTGTTAGCCACATCCCCGGCTCGTCAGTCTGGTTACTGATGGAAGTGTGGGCGCGTGAACTTGCTCAGAAGCTTCAGTGTGTGCCTGCGTGGGTTCCTCCATGCGGCTGTGGCGGCGTTCGCCCCCAAATCCCCGGGGCTCAGAAGATGATTAATGATAACAAAGCTCTCCCCATTGTGTTTGCGGATAGGAAGGAAGGAAGAGTACTCTAAAAAGAGAGTGCATAGAATTTCTGAGCATTGAAGTCCAAGAGCGGTTTAACCCTTGAGAACAGCTACAGAATTTCTCCTGGTTACGTGAAGCAGCGTGACCCTGCTCTCTCTTCTGGTGGAACTTCTCCCCTCGCTGCTGCAGGGCTGTGCAGGGCAGCACAGCACCAGCCTGTGTGACTGCCTGCGGTTGGATGCGTGGTTCGGCACCCCCGCAATCCACTTAGGTTTGGCTTTTTGAAACGTGTTAGAGATTTCTGCTAATGGGTTTTCCCCGTGGGCAGCATTACCAACCTGATTATACAGGTTTTAAGAAACTCTCTTAGGAAGATTCTTTTTCATCGTAAGTTTTGACATTGACCTACTAAACTGGGTAATTTAGCATTTTATTTTCTGAGAATGAAAATGAAAATTGAATATTTCATGACGAGAGAGGGATTACGGGAATGCTCTTCTGTGTGGGAAGCCTATCGTGTCCAGGGGCCAGATTGCGCTGCTGAGATGTATGCGTCTACAGGAAGACCTCAGCCCCTGCCTTCACAACCATAGCAGAAGCACTCCAGCTGTGATATACCCCACATTGCTGCTGTGGAAGCAGCTGTAATTAATGCACGTGTTGAGTATGGCTTGGGAGTGGAGCTGAGGTGCAAAGAAGACACATCCCTCCCTATGGAAGAGCTTCCATGCTGGCTGCGGTAGGGCCCTCGTAGCTCTGTGAGTATGGAGCAATTTGGGGCCTTTGCATGGAGAGCTTTGGCCCAGAACGTGGAAGTTCCTCTGAGTTTAGGAGCAGCTTCTGAACAGAAGTGGAGAACAAACCTTTTCCTTCTCCCCCTGTGACACATTGCTGGGTAATCTCCATGAGGAAATCTTAGTGGAGGTTGCATCATAAAAAGCCCACTCCTAAAGCTAAGTCGGAGCATGTGGCAATATCGCCTCAGTGGTTTAATTGCTACGTTCCTTTAATAGCAATTGTTCTTTTCCATTAAGGGCTATCGTATGCAACCTGGTTATTAGCTGGCTGAAAAACAGAAACGCTTTGTTTCACTGAGACAGGTTTACCTGATACGCTGAACCTGCAATTCCATTTAAAAAATGTACTGGGAATTTTTAAACTGGTTTTTATGGTGGGTAAATTTTATCAAAATATTTGCTTTTTTAAAAAAGTATTCAAATGCTGTAGCACTTGGCCAGCTAATACCGTATGGTTGAAGTAGTTCTTATATATCTGGGCATGATTCACATTTTCAGTCTATGCAAAACAGCATTTACAGAAGTGCAGTATCTGCTTGTAGAGCGGGATGTACTGTGTTGGTTTGCAAGGACTCTGTTCTGTAGCCATCCTTTTGCTGCATTTACTAATTTGTTACCATTTGCTGCTCTTATTTGTTAGGGGAGCATTGCTGACCCCCTGGCTGATCCCACTGAGCAGTGGCTTGTCGGCAGGGTGACATTCAATCGTTTCCTTCCTCTCCTGAATCTCTCTGTGCTCCCCTCCTTTGTCTGCTTGACCAGAGCTGGGCGACAGCCCGGTGCTGTGGGGCTGGCCAGGGGACACCTCTCCAAAAAGCATCCAGAAAGGAACAAATAACTGGTTGCACTCTGTGCACGTTTGTGAGTGGCTGTGCTCATCTGGCGGCGTTACTGATGTGTGTATGGAGAGCACAGCGTACGTGACAGAGGAGTAATGTCTTGCTATTCAGTAACTTTCTATAAATATCCTGGAAGAAAATATTTAGCGTTTCTGTGATGCCCGTTTCGGTGTTTCAGAGCACTTCTCCAGCATGACTTCAGTCTCCAGCTAGGACTTGAGGAGTACCTTGACTGAAGCTTTGTGCTCTGGCTTTGGGGCTACGTTTGCTGGCTGCAGTTGTGCTGATGACCACATCCCACGTGTGGTTTAGCCCTCAGCTGCTTTGTGCCTTGAAGGCAGGCTTAAGATTTCTCCTTGTGCTCTGACCACTCCATGGTAGGTAAACAGGCCAGGGCTACAGGGAGGGGCAGGGAGCCCCATTTCAGTTGGGGCAGAGCCCCTGGGGTGCAGGCGCTGTGAGGATGCGAGTGTGGGAGGATGCAAGTGGGCTCTGCACAGCTCAACCCCAGATGTCTCCTACCTTTGGTGTGCAAATGGGGGACCCTGTGAGCAGCCAGCATGGCTCCTTTCAAGTCCTCGCTCAGCTCCTGCTGTGTGTCTTTCCCCTCGGAGAGGAGCGTGCTCCAGTTTTGTTGTGTTTAAGTTACACCACCTTTTATATTTGGACAGATCAAAAACGGAACCCCAAACCATTTTCAGTTCACATAGCTACATAAGCAACTGGCTTGTGATTAAAATGTACGCGTTCCCTCAAAAAA